ATTGGCGGTCGTGAATTCGGTCGATAAGCCAAGGCGGGAGGAAGGTGGTTTTGCCTGCGTTTCACTAGGTCAACCAAAGATTGGACATTGTTTCCAAGTTGAATGACCTAGTGCTATATTTATTTGATTGTTTTTTTAAGGACCAAACATTGTTTCTAAGTTGAATGGTTTGGTTGCTTTGTTTCTTTTGGATTTGCCAACTTTATTTTCAAAGGCCAAGCTTTGTTTCTAAGCTGAATGGTTTGGTCGCCATGCTTTATTTGGGGCTTATGAATGAAGTTGGGCACTGTTTCTAAGTTGAATGACCCTACTTCCTTATTTGTGTTGCTTCTCAAAAGAGTTTCACATTGTTTCTAAGCTGAATGGTTTAGCCTGAAACCACACACTAATTGTCAGCTGAGTATAAAATTGGTATACTTTACATATATATGAACAAAAGGGCTAGCTATAAGCCATATCACTAAGAAGAGAGTATGAAGCTAAGGGTATAATTGAAGGTAATCTGGGCAAACTGAACATTGTTTGTAAGCTGACTGGTTCAGCCCTACGCCCATATCAAAAACAAACGCAAAAATTTATTTAAAATTTATTATTAAACAGTTCAAGACCGACTAAACATTGTTTCTAAGTTGAATGGTGTAGTCCCATGCCCAAAAAAGAGAGAAGTTATTCCATTTGTTTGTGTAAAGCTAAGGCAGACTAGACATTGTTTCTAAGTTGAATGGTCTAACTCTATGCCATATGTAAGAAGGGGTTAAAGGGATAACCATATGAAACACTTAAAAAACTACATTATCTAAAAATAACTTGGGAAATAGTGAGAAGACTTACCTTATTTTGTTTATGCATGCTCTGAGAGTTGGAGTTATTTTTCGATAGGTAGTTGCTTAGATACTCGCCAAGTGCTGGAGCGATAGGCATAGTAGTGATGGATGGAAGGGGAAGCTTGGGAGAAGGTACGATAGTCTTACTAGGAGTCGAAGTTCGTTGTTTAGTGATACTATCTCAAAGGGAAGTATCAGAAAGGCAACCTCTGACTCTAACAATCGAGTTAAGTGCCAAAAATTATCCTAAGTCTAATGATATTTTGCTTTTTGTATTTTACTGCGTAAAATTTTTGGTAGTTCACTTTCCAGAAAAAGTGTTGCCGAAATTTTTACTAATTCAAAGAAGTTAAATTTTCACTTTGCAAAGTCTGGTTGTTTTCTAATTTCATTCTTGGCTTAGTGAAAATTTTGGTGGTCTACGTTCCTAGAGGAAGTGTTGTCGATTTTTTTCCTAAATCAAGAGCTAGACTAAATCTGCCTTCGCAAAGTTAAGTCGTACTTTAATTTTCAGATTTGACTCAGTAAAAATCTTGGTAGCCTACTTTCCTAAGGGAAATGTTGCCAAAATTTCTGTAAATTAAAAGAGTTGTCAAAACTTTGATTGTGAAAATTTTGGCAATCCACCCTATCTAGAGGAGATATTGCCAAAAATTTCAGCTATCTGCCAATTAGGGATAGGTGACCAAGAGATTAGTGGAGGAGTTAGATTTCGATATGGAGTATATTCTCCGTTTGTTTTAAGCATAGCAATGATCTTTTGTCTTGTACTGTGATGCGGGTTCGTGTTTAATTCAAGGCGACTAGTTTCGGCCTGCTCCATCAAGGATCACTCTTCTATTATCATTTGATAACAAGTCGGTTTACGACCCAACTCTATCAACTCTCCCATCTCAACCTAAGGCCTTAGCCCCGTGGTTTGGATCGTTTCTTCAGGTTTTTACCCAGACTTGTTTGAATAGCCATTTAAAAAGAGCCGACTGTTTTTTTTGGAAGGTTGGGCAAAGGTTGGGGCTTGTGTATAACGCAAGGAGTGTTAGTGCAAGGAACGGTAGAAATTGACCCCTTTCGTGTGTGGATTGTGGACATTGAACTTTGCATGTGGCTGCAAGTATGCTTTACTTTGGATTCGAGACTTGATCTTGCTTGCGGTTGTTCACATGCTGAATGGAGAGTCACATCTGTGATTGTGAGAGTGATCTTCAGATGCTCCACGCCCCGTTCACCCACCTTATTTGCACAATTTGATTGGTCATGTGCGCTTTTGTAGCGGGGTGAAAGGCGAGGATGAGAAAAAAAACAAATACCCACAATTTATGCTTGTTGATTTTATGGTTGTACGTTACAATCCGTGGCAACTGTGAAAGTCAAACCCCTTGACTTTGTTTCAAGGACTCCGAATGTGTGGCTTCACCCCTGGAGTGAAGGATAGCCAACCACCACCACTTGCCGCAACCGGCCCATAGGTAAGACCGCTCTGACTTTAAGGAGGACATTAAATTTTGGCCTCTTCATGTTACAAGGATTGTGTCCTTTCATGCATTTCGGATCCGACACTTACGTGTCGTGCGCGGCCCGAGAACCCACGAAGGGTCGCACTCTTACGAGATGTCCGCCATGGTACCGAGTTGTACGCTTGCGCATGATTAGCTAACTTGGTGGGACCTGCGCCCAGCGCGTGCCTTTATGAGATTTCCACAAGCGATTAATGGGTAGCTGAAAATTCAGAAATGAAAATTCTGATGCACAGTTAATCCTCTGGATACCAGAGTAATCAATGCTGGTACGAGTTTTCTCAATTACTTTCTCTGAGGTCATCCTGAATCTTTTTGTATACGGGACATTGGACCGTTTTCCAGCAGGTGATGCTCCCCACCAATAGATGGAGCCTCTACCCGGGTGAAAAAAAAAAAAAAGAAAAAAAAAAGGTGAGAGTTTAGGCAGTCTGAAAATCCTAAATGGTCTTGAAGTGGTGAAGGATCCGAAGACCCTGAAAACCACCTTTTAGTGGTGAAGGGTCTTCCGAAGTGGTGGTGACAAATACGACTGTTGTTAACTTTCTCTCGAGATTTCGTGCAGGCGTCATTCACTGCCCGTGTACGAGATCTGTTATGGGTCAGAGGTTGAGGAAAAGCATTGAGGGACCCCTTTGAGCCAATCTGCATGCAGGCGTGAAAGACTTTGCTCACACACAAATATAGGTCATGGGCCATAAGCTGAAACGAACACGAACGCGCACGACGCTGGTACCTAAGCCGCTCGGCCATACTCGCACACAGGGTAGTCCGCATGCGTAATGGATTCTACTTCTGCATATGGGGCATTTTGTTTGCTTACAAAGACTAAAGTCAATAGTCCGAACTCCATATTAAATTATCTTTGTGGAACGTCAACGTTCCGGGCAGATGGGTTAGCACGCCTTCTTTGGAAAGCTCATGGGGAGGCGGTTGTCGGCGCTCCCAAAACCCCTGCCTTCTGTTAACCTGCCCTTACTCCACAATACGTCGCTGAAGGGGCAGGTGTCTGGACGCGATTGCGACCCTTCTCGAGTTACGAGTGTTGCCCCTCAGCGCGGGTGTCAGCCGACACTAGAGTGTCGAACGTGACCCCAAATTCTATGAAGGGTCACATGATTACGGGTACCACATGACGTGCTGCCATGTTGTTTGCTCAATGATTTAGGCATGCTCGCCAGTCATGATTATGCTCTAGTCAACGCACAACTTATAGTGCGATGTGCAAACACTTGCTGACCGTTTGAATCTCGAAAAAGGTTATGGTTTTCGCAGTGACATGAGAAGGGACTAGGTTTGGAAGCACACTCCAAACTCCTAATTTTACTCTTCAAGTTTTTGTTAGTCGCGTGGTTAGTCTGAGGTCCTCGTCGACCTCTGCAGGGCCGCGCTTGAGAGATCAGCCCCTCAAGCGACGGCTCGGCTGTGGGTTCGATTTGGGCGTTCACCGGGCGTAACCCCTATGCTACATTGAACGAGAACCGCCCTCGTCTGGGCCACCTCTGCGATGGCATATGAAAACTTTCATACGTGGTCCGGTAGATCAACAGGGATAAAACTACCTCGCGGGGTAGAGGTAAGTTGTACCTCGCGTGACCCTTTCCTGTCGTAGGGGTTCGAGAGAGGTATGGCTGGCGCACTCGGCCGGAGCGGCACCGCTCCCTGAACGCTTTGCATCTCGAACTGCCAAAATTCTGTGTGACGCGGCCGGGAGGGTCCCCGCGCAGGACTGATGCGCTCGACACCGTTCACCGACCGGGAGCGGTTGTACCCCATATGTGGTGGGCGGGCTAAGTACCAGTGGGGGGGTTACGTGCAGATGAGAAATGAAGCGTGCGAGAATTGTCGTGTCCATGTGGTGTTGTATGCAGTTGGACACTACAGCCTTGTAGGGCTGGGGTGGATATCATGACCAGTATGGTTTCACTTTTGAACACCGTGTCCTGGCTGTAGTGGTTGAGATACTTGGCTCTTGAGGTCCAGGTCACCAGTTCGAATCCATGCTTGCACGGAAGAGGGCTTAGGCCTACATGTGCGGATCCATGAACTGCTGGTGCCATGCACCACAAGGAACAACCGGACAAAAAAAAACAAAACACAAACCAGCAACTGAAAGGTGGTGCATCTTTCCATACTCCAAGGGCAGATTCATTCTCATTTTGTACATCTGGTGAGTGTTGGATCGAGGCCCATACCTGGATAAGTCCCCACCCAGTGGGAAAAAGGATGAGAATGGCAACAAACACGTCGCTGATGGTTAGACCCATCAGTATGACAAGGACAAGAGCCAAGATCATTGTGCTGCTCAGTGTGAACCGAATGAACAAAACACAACGAGCAAATGAAAGGCAGTGCATCTTTCCATATTCTAGGGGCAGATTCATTCTCATTATGTACATTTGGTGAGTGTTGGAGTGAGGCCCATACCTGGATAAGTCCCCACCCAGTGGGAAGAAAGATGAGAATGGCAACAAACACATTGCTGAACGTTAGACCCATCAGTACAACAAGAAGGACAAGACCCAAGATGATTGTGCTGCTCAGTGTGAATTGAATGAGCAAAACATAACGAGCAACCGAAAGGCAGTGCATCTTTCCATATTCTAGGGGGAGATTCATTCTCGTTTTGCACATTTGGTGAGTGTTGGACCGAGGCCCATACCTGGATAAGTCCCCACCCAGTGGGAAGAAATATGAGAATGGCGACAAACACGTCGCTGATGGTCAGATCCGTCAGTACGACAAGGAGGACAAGAGCCAAGATGATTGTGCTGGTCAGTGTGAACTGAATGAACCGATACGCCAGATGCTTCTGTACTCCAAACTTTTTCTTGTTAAGTGTATATAGCTGCGGAAGACAAAATACAATGAAGAAAACAAAGGCCCCAAAAAAAAGGCCAAAAAAGAGCCAAAGGGTAAGCAACTCCCTTGCGAAACAAAATGGGAAAGTTTAATGAACCAACTGGCCTAGCTCAGTTGGTACACCCCACTAGTGTTGAAATAATAGAAATACAGACCTGAGTTCGAACTCCACTGGAAGCGGATGAGTAATGTATAGTGCCATTCTCAATTACCTAGAGCCGGTAAGTTTGATGATGATATCTAAAGGCCGTCACCCTTCCAAAAAAATCGAAAAGAAAAGCTCATTGGCAGCTACCCACTCTTTTTTTTTCTTATTAAAAACAACAACAACAAGATGAGTGTGCTGCGCAGTCTCAACCATGGTTGCGATCCGGACATCCGGACCGCAGTGCAGACGGTCCAGGTCTGGTGTCCAGTCCACAGTCTCCGGATCCATCCCCCCACCCCCACCCCCAACCCAAAAGAAAAAAAAAAAAAAAACTGAAAAACAGATATGTTGTGCAGCATTGCAATACAAAAATCTTTTGGCTGAGGGCCATCGCAAAATTCGTAGCCAAATCCAAGGAAAAAAATAAAAACGTTCTTTTTTTAATAAAGCAAGTGCCAAGTGGTTTTCAATCCGGACGGTCTGGAGCAATCCAGACACAGGTCCAGCCGGACATCTGGACTGGTCCAGTGTCCAGGTCCGGTGTAACCATCGTCTCAACTGATAAGCCAGATGCTTCAGTACACTGAACTCTTTCCTGTTAAACCACGAGTACATAGCCCAGACAAACTTGAGAGTCGAAATCGAGCCAATCCGGAAATTTCGGGCGCTCAGAGCCCGATGAGCTCGGCTGGCGACGCCAGAGAAAAGAAAAGAAACAGCACCATGCTGGCGTTTCGGCAAAGCTTGGCGAGCTGGGGGAACCTGCCTCCACAAAAAGCGGTTCAAATGTATTGTGGTGGTTTAAGCATTTAGAACTGCCAACGACAACATACCATGAAAAAAGAAAATGAAAGCCGAAAAAAAAAAAAAAAAAAAAAGGTAAAGAGACAGGAGGTAGGCGACACCATTTCAAAACAAAACCGAAAAGTTTTTTAAGGGCTACCCACTATGTTCTTAAAAAAAAACAAAAACAGGAAGCGTCGTCCTCGTGCCCGCCGGCATATACCATACACGAGCTACAACAGGGACACGAGTGTGAGGTCTTGTTTGAATGGTGAAGGAGTGCGAGGGGCTTATTTGCTCATCAGCCTCTTTTGACTGCACCAGGGCATACTTAGGATCACATTACAACTTTCGAGGCTTTATGGTACATCTCAAGTTTGAATCTGATGGAATCAGATGAATGCAATGCACATGGCTGATCTCTCTCTCTCTCTCTCTCTCTCTCTCTCTCTCTCTCTCTCTCTGTGTGTGTGTGTGTGTGTGTGTGCATGTGAGGAAAAATGGGCTCTCTCTCTCTCCTCCCTCCCTCTCTCGTGAACAAAAAGAGGGCTCTCTCTCTCTCTGTCTGTGTGAACAAAAAAGGGCTCTCTCTCTCTCTCTCTCTCTCTCTCTCTCTCTCTCTCTCTCTCTCTCTCTCTCTCTCTCTCTCTCTCAACATTTCACAAAAATAATCTGAAAGCAACACAAATACTTCTGGCACAGCATCTGCTATGTGCTCACACACCTTGACGATGAAACCGACTCCAATGGCTACCAGCCATGAAATAAGGTACACCTGCAGCAATGAGAGCAGAAAAGCCGAAGCAGTCAGTGTTATTATTCCACAGAACCGACTGTACTCAACATCGCAATCGGGCAATATGAGCCCACTGGAACCTCAACATAGCGAGCACAATACAAAAAAAACTAATGACTAATGACGACAGACTTACAACACATATAACTGACTAAGGTGGACAGCGCAGAACAGCCAAATATTGGAACAGGTAATCCCATTGCCTGGCAAGCACAATCAAAAACCCACTGCTATCGTAATGCCACATACGCAACCTCAACTCGACCAGAGACAGCAAGTCCCCGCAAAATCTCACATACCCCCACACAACGTCACACATGCCCCACACAGACTGTCACACGTATCATCACACATATCGTCACACACATATCACATGTATTGTCACACGTATCATCGCACACATATCGTTGCATACATATCGTTGCACACATATTGTCACACAACGGTAAAATTTCACTTCCTGCCCCATAGACTGTCAGAGAAACATTGGGCCTCGTGACACTACGCTGTACAATTTGTACAATTTGTGAAGTTCGGTCATCGCTTCACTAACTATCCATTTCCACTCGAGAAATTACTTTGTACAGCTATCGGAAAACACAAACGGGAAGGACTCTGTACGGTTGTAGAGTCCCCAGCCTGCAACCATCGCTCCTCGTAGAGTCCTCATAGGTCAACAATGGGTGTCCAATTTTTGAGGTTTTTGAAGGTCTGACAGCTACACAGCCACTCTACAAAACTTTGTACCAGTTTAGGGTACTGTAGCAAGGCCTGTTGAGACACAACTCCATTGCTCCCGAGAGAGTATCACACAGTATCATAACAGAGCCCCTGCTCGAGCAACTGTCGAACACAAACATCACAGGACACGAGCAAAAGGCATGCAAGACCTCCCATCACACACAGACGGCTCCTGCTGCTGCTCACGAACTCTTAGCCCCCTCACAGGCTTTGTCACACAGACTGCTTTGATGGCCACACACTAACCCTTCATGCATTTCATCTATCCACATAAGCCGAGCAATTCGTGTGACGAGTCTCATACGCAAACATCAAAACACAAGTCTTGCCCCTCCCCCCCTCACCCCGTTCCCCCACATCAAACACCAGCACAACAGAACCCCTGCCCCTGCAAACTGTCACACCCAAACATGCCCAGATACTCATTACCTACCCCAACAAGACCTCGCGTACACAGCGTCCTTCACACACAGAGTGGTGTGTGTGTGTGTGTGTGTGTGTGTGTGTGTGTGTGTGTGTGTGTGTGTTGTTTTAAAAGACCCCAGATCCTCTCTCTCATTCCCTTCACATATCATCGCAAGCCATCCATAACGAAAAAGTACAGATAGACAATATAATAAAAAATGCAAGGTTGGCCATGTTTCTGTGGTTCAGCGCCAAGTGCCCACACACCCGTCTGCCGCCAAAGCAGCACCCTTGCACATATACATAAGTATACATATATGTTTAAGGGGATGGAGGGCAGAAGGCAACTTACCTAAGACAGAAGACTACTCCAGCAAGAAGGCACCGACCTGACCCCCTCAAAGGTCCGAAAAACCTTGGAGAGTTTGGCATTCCCGACATTCATCTCAAACTACACACTCGCATCACTGCCAAAGAGGAGGAAGAAGATAAGAGACAACTTACCTAAGACAGAAGACTCCTCCAGCAAGAATGCACCGACCCCCCCTGCTAAGGGTCCGAAAAAAAACTGGGAAAGCCTTCCACGCCGGCCCACAAAATGTGTGTGTGTGTGTGTGTGTGTGTGTGTGTGTGTGTGTGTGTGTGTGTGTGCGTGCGTGTGTGTGTGTGCGTGTGTGTGTGTTTTAGATTTTCCCCACAACAGCCTCATTC